AAAGCCGCCGCCATTCTACCAATCGATTACAAGTTGTGAGGCTTCAGCGTACGGCTTCTCTGTTCAGAGGTAAATTAAAAACCCTCCCGCTATTGTGCCTAGTATTGCAAGCTCGCTATTCAAGCTTGCGACCTGTTAAATGTTTGTTCAAAAGAAAAATAAAATAATTACGCACTGCGATAAATTGAATTTATTTTTAAGTTTTAGCGTTACAAAGGTATGTAATGTACTGAATTATAATTAAATTTTTGAATAAATTCTTGTACAAATGTTGAAAAGCTGAAAATTGTTTTAATAAAGTCTAGTTAATTCGTTATACGTAGAATTCAATGACAATTGAGCTTACTGTTTTAAAGCTGATGTGGTACAGTGGTAGAGCCCGCTTTAATACCTTCGCCCGAATGCGCTCGCCCCGTGTAATACCACGACCACACTGAAGACAGACGTGAAGTGTAAGCAATTCCGCCCAACTCTAGCCCCTTTTCCTACCCACTCTTCTTATAAGAAATGGATGGGACTTGAACGTGGATTTGATGGCGGAGGAGACGCATAGGAAGGGAAATAGCCTTTTATGTGCATCTCCTCTTTCGTCGCTTAAGGGTAGGCAACCGATTCACTTTTGCAAATGTCTACGGGCAGCGGTGGCCAGTTGGCGGATACAGATGGCCGATTGCTCGTTTGCCACCTTATGATGTAAAAAAAAATGTCTAAAATAGGAAGAATAACTTGATCGTTGGTGGACAAATTATAAAGAGAAAAGAACTATACAGTAAAGGGTTTCAGACTGTAGGTATAGTTAAGATTTTAGGGATGGTTTTTCAATACTTAATAATCTAGAACTATATAAGAGCAAAAATCGTATATTTTTGTAGTGCTAAGTTTGGGCGGTTCGCTCATAATAACATATTATCAGTATAAATGAGTGTATAATGAAAGTTTTGAAACTATAACCACACACCGTGTCGTCGTTCCCGGCTTACGCAACCCTAAATGACAATGATTACCGGTAATACTCCCACTTTACTTTGTGGCTTAAGGGCGCGAACATACTAACCTCTACCTATTTATTTTGAAACATTATTTTATCTTACTAATATTATCTAATGTAATCTAACTTATATATATAATGATATAAATGCGAATGTTTAGATGGATGGATGGGTGTTTGTTAGAGTTTGTAGCCTAAATGGCTAAACGGATCTCTATGAAATTTGGAACAGATGTAGAAGGTGGTCTGTGGAAGCACATAGGGCAGAGTTGCGGGCGAAAGCTAGTGTTTATATAAATAGTGTAACATTGAAAGTATGTATGCAACAAAGTTTCAAATAATAAAGAATTAAACAATGGTAAAACTACATAGATACGAAATACTTGAACAATCATGGCTATTACCGTGAGTTACCATCAAATTACTTTTAAAAACATATTATCTATGGTTTTATTTTTAGGTGAGCCTCGTCTAACTAATTCATATAAAAATTTATAAAAACCTGACATTTTTGGAATAATTAATTTTCTAATGTGTACAACGCTTTATAAAAAAAATAACAAAAATGAATATGGCGGCAATCTGTCAAGACACGCGCGCGCCACGCGTCATCCATTCCCCTCCTTCAAAGATTAAATCCGAATCAATCGAGAGCATCCGCAAAGATAACTTGCGAATCCGCAATAAAATATTGAATTACACACATTATCTTTTATTTACGTTTCCGATTGAGGTGTATCAGTTTACAGGGAGCTAGCAATCTGTTAAAATGTTATTGTTTTTGATGAGAACCACTCTGATGAATTGTTGTCTATTTAAATACGGGGAAGTTGTCTATACTAATGTTATATATAAGAAGGATTTGAATTTTGTATGTATTTGATTCACGCAAAAACTACTAGGTCTATTTTAAAATCAATAACATTTAGCAAATACATCACAAATATGCAAAAGCTTTTCATAGATCAACAACTCTGACTTCCATAAGAAACAACAAAGAAGTTATATTTTGATTAGAAACATGAGAAACAAATTAAAAATATCTTTATCAATAAATATAAAAATACTAGTTGTTGCTTGCGACTACGCCCGCGTAAAATAAAAAAAACATAGCCCGTGTCCGTCACAGCTTTTTAACGGTGAAAGCATTTTTGAAATCTGCCCAGTAGTTTTTAGTAGTTCAAAATATAAATCTTTCCTCTTTATAATATTAAGTATAGATAATAATCTTTATAATAAATTACATTATCATACAAAAAAGTCTATTTATTAAATAGTATCAAACAAAATAAACATGGCACTCTTAAATGGGGTAATAGACCACTTAATTCAGTTTAAAAAAAAACCGCCCCAATATTCTCCCTCATCTCTTGAACAAACAATGTTAAAAACCATACCTGTCCGGTGAGATCAAAATTATCGGGTACACTTGCCGTTTAGCCTGAGGGCAAACACAGGTGTAAAGCATTTATTGTTAACGATTTTAAGGTGGAATTAATACATGGGGATGTATCGTCAGATGGAAGTGAATTTATCTCTTTGGTACCGCGTTCTAAGTCACAGGATAATGTTTGTGTGTCTATCTATCTATACTTATTATAATAAAGCATAAACACACATTTCTTTATTGCCTAAAATGTCAGCAATTACAACATATTTTTTTATAATTCCCTTTTTAATAAAAAGCTCTACACTTACGTCACGCTTTAGGCTATATATTTTCGCTCAATTAAAGTTAGGGGTAAATATTTTGGATAAAGATAATATGGGAAAGAGACCATAAGTTTCTGCCAACATCAAAGAAGCAAGGTTGCAATGCTTTATGATGACAACATGATGATGTCATGTAATTTTGACATTTGCAATTGATAATTTGACACATGTAAACAATAAAATAAAATTTTCATAATTTTATGCGCATGAAGTCGCACGGGAACAGCCAGTTTATAAATTTAAACTTTGATCCTGTTTCTTTTGTTTTTTTGATAGAATGTATTTAAAAGCCAAAGTCAAATTGGTACGTGTCGTAAATACCAATACGACTATTATAGTTTAGAGGCCTATTCAATAATAATATAATAATTTATTTTATAATTTGCGTGGAGAATATATTTGGGCTTTTAGCTTAGGCTTTAATAATACACACACTAAAAACGTAACCTTCCTATACTTAATCCGAAAAGAAACTTAGAATTTCAACGTTTTAACATATCTAATTCATGTAATTCGATATTATTTCGCATAAAAAGCGTCCCGTCGATCGACTGGGAGGTGACGTGTGACGTTATGTCAGAGGGCGTCCTCTGCACTCCGGTGTCCGGTGTCTCCGGACACGACATCCGACACTTCCGTTTCCGAGCACGCAGGTGAGCGCTTCCGATCGATTTTGTTCCATGTCTATGGTCAACGTGTAAGCCTTTACAATCACCCTAATGCTTTCAAAGTTGCTTCAAGATAAGTAATGCAATGGGTGACCCTTCCCCCTCCTACAGAGAATGAGATACAAAAATTACTTCAAATAAGAAAATCTAGACTTGCCCCCTTCCCTAGAGCTAGTGTAGATCATATCAATACCTATAGTATGAAAAATTGGCAGTTGAGTATATTTTTTTTAATTAACTACACACGTTTGCTCATATAGCAGCTCACTGCAGTCTCAGTTTTTGCTATCTCTGACTTAATAAAAGAAAAAAAGTTTGCTTACTACAGATCAATGATTTCATAGAAGCCAAATAACATAAGCGACGGATGCTGTTGACAAAAAATCCGCGTTTCGTTGGAACGTGTGAAGTAGTGAAGTTTGCACCGCGTGTGAACATGCAGAATGCCTCGGAGCCACTCGGCTGCACTCGGCTCAGTGGGCAGCGATGCCTGTTTGATACCGCCCACGAAGTTGCGATACCAATATACGTACGTTTAGAAGTTTCACACATAACTATCTTTCTTTTTCCATTTCTTCTGCAATTATATTTATAAAGTACTAGCTTTTGTCCGCGACTCCGTCCGCATGGAATTAAAAAAAACAAACGTAAGTTGCCTATGTGTTCTTCCAGACTACATCTATACTAAATTTCATCGAAATCTGTTCAGCCGTTTAGGCTACAAACTCTAACAAACATCCATCCATCTAAACTTTCGCATTTATAATATTAGTATGATGTAATATATAAATAAGGAGATTTGGTACAAAACAAAGAAGTGTGGATACGCTTTAGAGCGGGCGGACACCTTTGACCAAACTATAGCACAAATGTTGTGCGATTGTCGATTGTTTTGCATCCCATTCAACTATTTAGTTGCACAACTAAAAATCGAGAAGTGTGCACACCTCCACATATGCTCATAGGAATCAAAGCGAGACTAAATAGTTTTGCGATAATTTAGTTTTAGGTATGCGCTAATATATTTAATGTATATGCCAAAGCGACTATTTGCCTATGAACGCGATAAGCGGATGTTATTGTGTTAGTTCTTATTTCGAAGGTACCACGGGTATCGCACGAGGTTCACGACATCTGGTTGAAACGGGACGTGGAGATCTCGCATGATTACCCTCTACCTGGGTGGCCGCTAGCACTTCTCATACTGGCAATCGATACCGTCAGGTGCCATACCTGGGATATTTACTGTTTTATTAATTAATAAAAAAATAAAATAAAAACGTCCACAAATGTTATATTTTCATTCATACAATTTAGGTACAAAAATGAATCAACAAATTTTATAAAACGAAAAAATCAGTTAACTACCGTTTACTGAAAAGCTAAAAAATCATTATAGGAGTAGTGTCTTTCGAAATCAGTATAATAATATTAGTTGCATTTATCAAAGTTTTTTAGGTTTTCTTGAGGAAGTAAACACATACAAACTACACATAATTCAAGAACAAATTCTGGAAGATCTTGTTTAACAAAAGTAAGTAACCTATGTGATTTTGTCACTGACGAAGTCGCGGGCGAAAGCTCGTATATCATACATTGTTTTTTGTGATTTACTTATATTGGTGGGTTAGTTAATAATGGTCGTACATTCTTGTGGTCATATTGCACATATTAACGATTCTTATGAAATTTGTTTTATTTTTTAACCTGTGTACGCTACTGGTGTATCAGATTTCATACAGTAGATTGAAATGCAGTATTAAATTGCTGTTTTAATATTTATGGTAAAAATTGCAACAATATAAATATGAAATTACTATAGAGAAGTTACTGCTCGTATACGAATAGGGAACGCTTAAAGGTTACTAGGTTTGGAATTAAAAAAAAAACAAAATCATGCCATCTATGCCAAATTTACAAGGCTCTAACAAACATCCATCCATATGTTTATATAATTATCCATCTAAACTTTCGCAATTATATTAGTAAGATAGATATTGTATAGAACTGCATTGCATAGGGGTAGAGTTGGAGAAACGTAATTGTATCGTATAAGAGTAAGACCATTATTAACTAGTCGACAAAAAGGTAGGTACTCGTTTTTTATGTAGTAAAGCGTGAAAAGTAAATAAGGGCGGATCAAGACGATAAGATCAAAAGAAGGGTGTGTCTGAATGTACGTTGTATTATTAACGATTGCCTTATTAGTATAAAAATATAAATGAGCTATATAACTCGGAAACGACATGCATTGGGGATATCGTAAGGGCTAGTCACCTCAAATTTATTGAAGGCTTCGAGCCATTAAGTAGGGACCTGTCACTATCTCGCTATGATGATACAACTATAACAAACAACGCTCACGGCCATAACCTAGAAGAGTAGGACAGCCATTAACGCGCTCTTGGAACACTACTTTTGAATTTCCCGCTTTTACCTCTAATCTCTACCATGAAGAAAGTTACCATAAAAGTAAAAAAAAGGTATGAGGTGACTATTTTCACATATTTTAAAAACAATATTAACCTAAGTCACTTGCTTTTATCACTTTCTTTATTTTAAGGTTTAATTTAACTGTCTCAAAGGCATTGTCATAGATAATTATTTTAATTAATTAACTTATCTAAATAGTATCGGATCACTAAACGTTCCCCGCCGCAGAGCCGCAGACAAAAGCCCGCCATAACCCGATACCCGTTGACAGCTACTTTCCCGCGCACAATATGTCATGTCAATGTTTTTTTTTCAGGCGAGGGGGTTGGATACAAACAGCCAATTACCGTGGGGGCGGGTGAAGTGTGCATTAACCAAGAGATAGCCATTTAGTGAACACCATCACACTGTATGGGAGCGTCCGGCAATAAACATATTAATTAAGGAGCTCTATTAGTATTTTAGAATGATTTTATTAGAGTTTAACTTCTATCGGTGTTGCCATGGCGGGTTATTTCAACGATTCGTTTAATTTAATTAGTGAAGTGCTGTGCGAAACTGTGATTTTGTGATGTGTTTTGAATTGAATATTTTAAATTATATTTGGATATAATTCGGGATTTTGCTTTTAAAAAGGTAAGTCTAGTACTTTACATTAATCTATTAATAATTTGATATACTTAGTACAAGATATAATAATTCAATTAATAAATGGCGGAAACAATTGTAGATAGATTCCGTATGACGAGTCATGTTCTTTCTATGTATTTTTTTAAAAAAAAAAACCCGGACAGAATATATGTATGTTATTGCTGCTTTCTTTACTTTCGTTTTTTTAATTACAAATTCAGAGAAACATAGGCTGGAAGTCTATTGCGATTTTAAGTATTTTTGAGTAAAATCTTCTTTACAAAAACGGGATTGGGAACGGATGTCTACCTTAAATTTTTTACAACTTTTGATTATTGATTTTATAATGGAATCCATTTAGGTTATAATATTGGTTAAAAAAGTACCAGACTTCGAACTTAGTAGCAGTAGCGACTTCGTACTAGTAGTTACTATTGAAAATAATATTTATAATACAAACGATAAATAGACAACTAAATAATTAATTATCTGTATTAGACGGTGTAGCGAAAACTGTGAACCTTTTTTTTAAAAAAAATGCGTGAACAGGTGAATGTGAGAGACTATGAAAATAATTATTAATTATGGAAAAATTAAAAAATATTTTGTTGAGAATTATCAAACATTAAGGGCCTATCAATCTACTGGCTGTTAGAGGCTCAGATAGCTTAAAAATGACGTCACTGTCAGATCATGAAACTAAATCCGACATTCTCATCACAAATTTTACATGTTCGATTGTAATCAGAAAATTTAAAATTTGGTGAGACAGGCCCTAACACTCGTCTAATCAAAATGATTCAAATGTAACAATGAAAACCCATTTTATTATAAACATTTATAGAAATTAAAATTAATCTGAATAAGATTCATAATACATTTTAAGATATAGAGTAAGCTAATTCACAACTAGACTTGAAATTAAAATACGCCTGTATACTGAAACGAATTTTGAACACAGCATTTAGCAACATCTTTTTGGAATTTGGAGTTTAAGCGTAAATGTATTTGGCCTTTAATCCGGTAATCGGTCAGATTACTATAATCTAATGGATTTCGACTTAATTCTATTGCTATGTCGTCTTACAAAAAGTGAGCGTTACAATAAAAACAAAGATATTCAAAATGTATAGAGTAGGCATACTTGATACTTCACTTTATCACATAATGACACTAACGCCACCCCTTGATAGATTTTCAAAACCACAAGGCACTATTATTTATTATATTGAAATTAGTTTATTTTATAGCTAGCTGTTGCTCGCAACTTCGTCCCCGTGAAATTATTAAGTAATAAAAATGTAGCCTATGTTGCTCACTGATAATGTAGCTTTTTATTGGTGAAAGAATTTTTGAAATCAGCCCAGTAGTTTTTATGTTATTTCAATACATACAAAAATACAAATCTTTCCTCTATATAATAGTACAGATAAAATAGCTTATATTATAATTTTGTTAAATGTTTTACTACACGTGATTAACAGGACACGAGGTGGCACTAAACTTGACAACTAATTAACATTTCAGAGAAAGTGCGGTTGAAAAATTTCATTCACTTTGCCTAGTCTATATACTTCTTAAGTGTATGAATATAAGCGAAATTGTTATACCAATTTATCAAAACTTTTTATCTTAACAATTGAAATAGGACGCCAAAAACAATTGCATCGCGTAACGTAATTGCACCTATTACCGCTAGTCTATACTTTTATACTAATATTATACAGAGGAAAGATTTGTATTTTTGTATGTATTGAAATAACTCAAAAACTACTGGGCCGATTTTAAAAAAATCTTTCAGCGTTAGAAAGGTAATTTATCTGTGAGTAACATAGGCTATATTTTTTAATTTCAAGAGGGCGAAGTCGCGAGCAACAGCCAGTTTATAATATGTTCAGACTAGTTTTTGCCCGGGACTCTGTTCGCGTGGAATAAAAAAAAAGTGAGTAGCTATTATTCCTGACTATCCTCTACGTCCATGCCAAATTTTACCGTGATTCGTTCAGCCGTTTAGGTTGCAAACTCTAACAAACATCTATCCATCTAAACTTTCGCATTTATAATATTAGTAAGATAGTTATTATGTTATGATAATTATCAGATTTGCAAAAAAATTGGTACATAAATACAACAGTCCCTTTCGTATGTTTTTCACTTCTCATAGTAAACCTATTAAGTTACTAGAAAATTAAAAAACAAATGAATGCCTGTTACTATTAGATTGTTCTTACTATCGGATATTTTATTACCAACCGTGTCTTTAAATTAAATCAACTAACAAAATGATTTTTAGTGCCAAAGATCAAAGATCTAGTCAATTAATACCGGACAAAAATAGCTTGATTTTACCATAACATCAGCCTGCGGTCCATTAATGTACGTCATGCCCTATGCATCAATTATTGTGGCGATAATCATTTCTTTAATGCCTTATCTAGTAAGTAGCTTTCGCCCGCGACTAATTTCGAGTGGAATTTAAAAAAAGTAAGTAACCTATATGTTCTTCCAGACTATCGTCTACATCTATATATACCAAATTTCATCGAAATCCGTTAAGCCGTTTAGGCTACAAACTCTAACAATCATCTATCCATCCATCTAAATTTTCGCATTTATAATATCAACTAACTAGTTAGTATGATTATGTTGACTATGTCCTCGGTACGATTTTCCGGGAGGTCTATATACGCTGCCACACCCTGCACGTAGTTGTTCCAAGATATTCCTATCGGCTATCCGTTCTGCACGCCATATGTCTCGCCTCTTGCCTCCATTTAAGCAATATCGGTTGATTTGGTTCTACACTGGATAACATTATTTCTGACTAGTTTTCGCCCGCGACTCTTTCTGCGTGGAATTAACAAATAAACAAAAGTGATTAGCCTATTCGTTCTTCTAGACTATTCTCTACGTCTATACATAATTTAAACGAAATCCGTTTAGCCGTTTAGGCTACAAAACAAACATCGATCCATCAAAACTTTCGTATTTATAATATTAGTATGATGGGTATCTAAATGTTTAGGCTACTTGAGATACATGTTAAATAGTTTATTGATAAAAACACTCACGACCGCAGAACAGGATGGTAGGATATCGGCTTTGTGACACAATTCGGTATGGTATATTATATGACATTTCCTAACCTATAAAATATTTTCTAAAATGACTGAATTCGCAATAGTTGAAAATGCACTTCCGTTTTGTTTATGTATTTATGAAATGCTAATTAAAAACCGTCATACACTGAACGTTTTAAATCTTGCACTACAACTGTATACTGTATTAAAATTAGATATATTTCGGTAGCCATGCCAACGCGGGATTACAAGCGTCGGAAACAAATCTAGGCGGTAGTGTACCGCCCCTGCGCCGTGAGATGCGCGAGGCTGCGAGGCGGAGCCATGGACTGCTACATGCCCAACAACCCGCAGTACGGGCTGGCGGAGTACTGCCCCGGCTGCCACGGCCTCTGCTGCGACCCTCTGCAGCCCTGCACCTGTGTAGATCAAGTCAGAGAGTTCGCGGAGGACGAGTGCTGTCAGGTGGGTTAGAAAATGGAAATTTAAAAATCGAATTTGAATCGTTCCGGGAATTAGTTTATGCATTCTAAATTTGAAATTTCGAATTTGGGAATAACAAATTGTTTTTTTATGAAACATGTTGGTGTTTATTTAATTTCTAGCCAGGCAGGATTCCTTTAAAATTGTAGAATGTCAAATTCAAAATACAAGAAAGTGTTGTACCCACAGTAATCAATTTTTTATCATGAGGCATAATTCGTTTGCCAACTGTTTAAAAAAGAATTTACAACCTTTCTTTAGACACTGACGAAGCTAGTCGATGCCACCGGACATACCTGTATACATACGTTTTTAAAACTAAACTATAACTACTAAACTACAGCACAACTGTTTAGTCTCTTTTTGATATTAGCTAATATGGAGCTGTGCACACTAACCGATTTTTAGTTGTTCAACTAAACAGTTGATTTGACTGCGAAACAATCGACAATCGGACAACAGTTGTGAGTAGTTTAGTCAAAAGTGTGCGCACAGTCTTAAAATTCCTGACGTGTACCTTGCAGCAGGAGACAGAAAACTGCTGCCCCGAGAATGGAGAGGAGCTGGGGGCATTGGGCGAGTCGCTGCCGTGCGATGTAAACCTCGCACCCGCGGCAGACGCCTGGCCAGACGACATGGCATCATTCTCCCTGCCGCCACTGGACCTCGACCCATTGCCATCTCTCTTCCCGTTTTCACCTTGCTCCGGTTACAAGTAAGTTTCAAAACCTATCCGACGGAAAGAGTTAACACTCATTCTAGGTGATCTAGATTAGGCCATCTGCAGTAACTCTTATAAAATCTATTTAGGTATACAACTTTTCAACGGAAGATTCGAAAAGTCTAGTAGTTTCTTAAAGTGGTTGAACCTTCCTCAGAAAATAAGTAAAACGCTCTATAGCATAAGTCATTTTAAAGTGGTTGTATTATGTTTAGAATAATCGTATGAATCTAGTCGCGGACACGAAACTTACGGCGAGCGTTGCGACGCTACCGGCGGAGCGGTGCACAGGGGGTAAAATCTTACATAAATCAAAACATCCTATCTACCCATTAAGCCGATGTCACAATAGTCTAAATCAAGATTACCGATCTTGCGGTCGAGGGTTCGAAACCCGCCATTCGAATTTCGTCGTGAACCATATCCTAGCACAAGCATAGAGCTTAGTTAGAATGGTTAAAGGAAATATTAGCAAATTAACAAAAATCTACTAATATCTTTATTAAAAAAAGATGAATGTAGCCGTTGAATTAGTTTAAAATAATATCTCAGTATAGTTTTAAATTATAAAGGAGCTTTGACTATTACATCTTGATGAATGAAATTAAATCTAATGTCATGTGAAAACTTATGACGTTTCCGTTACGTAGATGTAGTATACGTAGACTAGGTATTACCGTTGAGACTTACGTCATAATATGACTGAAGATATTAATTTGGATTTTACCTTCAGCAGAAACAGCGGCGGGGAGTGCAGAGAGCGGGGCGGGGAGGCGGCCGACGTCCTACTCTCCCTCAAGCACGCCGTGGTGCACGGAGACTGCGCCACTGATAACGTACACCCACAGGTATAGTCGTACTCTTTACTCTTATTAGTACTTACTAATGTAAGACAGAGATGAAAAGCTGTAGTACAGTTTAGTTAAAGTGATTGAGTTATCGGGGGAATGAATGGGTGGGGAGTGTACAGGTAAATCCGGGGTGCATGGGGCGTACAGCTTTTGTGTAATTATTTCAATTACGTTCGCAAAAGCTCCGTATTGGCTTCCCTGAAAATGTCTAACATTATACGATACCCTTATTAAAACTTTGCCGATTTGGTTTGTTTCAAAGCTTTTGCAATCAAAGTTACACATTCTATTGTTTTGATATTAAAGTTTTAAAAGGTTCGTTTTGTATGGCTTTGCAATTGATGATATTTTTAGTACACTTACGAAAGCTACGAGTTTCATGCGCTCAGTAAATAATTGTAGATAAAAAAGTAAATAATTGTTTCCTGTTAAAGTTTTGCCTAAAGTCAGTTTTAGCTAAAAACTGACAGAACTGAGTGTACAGTGAGTTTAGGAATCAACGTTATAAAATCATTACACAATTAATGACTTGCAATATTAACCCATAGCGCTCTTAACTCGGATCAGTAGGGCGTGGCCACACCCCAGGTGCCGTCCACTCGTATCCGAGCGAACGTCTCGTTCATTTTGTATGCCAGTTAAGCGCGTTATTTTGCAACTACATTCCATCAATTGTTTAAGCACTATGTTAATAACTTTACGGTAATAGATGATGATGAACGGCAGCGGAGGGTACCCGTACTACGAGCACTACGGCGCCGCCCCCCTCTTCCCCACCATGAGCGTCAACGTCTCTATGAACATGACCATGCATGGCTGTCCACCTGACCAGCTCTGCTCTCAGGTATAATCACATTCAACTTTTAGTTAAGTAAAATGAAATTAATGAAATGTGATGATCGACGTCAGGTGTCTCAAGGAAACTCCGGTCGCGTTTTAGTCGCACAAAAATGATCGTGATTTTTTTTAGCTCAATGGTTTCGAGTCAACATTTTTATCTGGGTGAACATTCTTTAAAACAAGTAGAATCGTTTAAAAAAAGAAAAAAAAATCTATGCACATTCCTCATTTAGTCGGTTTAAAACAAAATGCCGCGGAAATGCCAGAGAATCGTTGAAATGAAGTCGGCGGCGGCGGCGGCGTAGCACGCCGTAGCGCTGTGTAGCATCATAGATTAAGAATGTTTGCAATAGAATAATCTATTTTGTACAATTTAGCGATAGATAAATTCAGTAAAGCCGCAGTTTAGGATAATTTCATACACCTATAGTTAATATTTTAAAGATCAGTCTTAGCCAGGTTGCGATATTACATTTGTACAATGCCCTGTTTGAATATTCGCCGTTACCTAAAAAAGCGAACACAATAGATAGATTAGATATTTTCTATAGGTGCAGTGGAACCAGAATGCGTCAACGCCATCTGTCAACGTGGTATACCCTCAAGCTCAAAACGTCATCAGCCCCACATCATATCCATCTGCCACATATTCATTCACAGCTGACTTTAGACCGCCCAACCAATCAGACCCTCTGATCACCGCGTCTTCCACATTCAAACCACTACAGCTGCAAAACTCACAGAAGACCAACCCTAATTACTCTTTATTCCAACAAAAACCTAACTACACAAGTCAGAAGACGATAGCGCCTGTGCTGAAGAGATCGCCACCAAAGATGTACGTTCAAGAAAGTCAGAAAGACCAGAATGTAAACAATGGATATACGATATTGAATCACCAGGCCCAAGTGCACTCACAGGACTACGGGTACACAGCCTGCGTTAATTCTTCTGGCAAAGTTCAGGTGAGTTTTTATTCTATATCCATTGTTATAAAGAGGAAAGATTTGTATTTTTGTATGTATTGAAATAACTCAAAAACTACTGGGACGATTTCAGAATTTCACCATTCAAAAGCTAAGTTATCACTGAAATCACTGAGTATGAGTTTTTTTTATAACCATGCCGACGAAGTCGCCAGAAACAGCTAAAGATAAAGTAATGCTACAGAGCGGTGTAAAGACTGTATAGAATTACATATCAAGACGCATTTAGCACGTTAGTGTAATTATCTATAGATAAATATCGACTTTGTTGTAAAAGTAGCTCAAGTACTTATGACGTTGTTTCCGTTTGCCGATTTTACTTTAATGTTAGTTTTATATATTGAACTGTAACCGATTTCAAAGATGAGTTTTGCACTTTTTTTTAGTCGTATTTAAGAGGTAATTATGGGGTTTTCAAATTCGCTCTATAATAGGTCGGTGCTCTAAGCGGTTGTTCAGAAGACGACGAACAGAAGCCGAACCTATGCCGTATCTGCGGCAAGACGTACGCGCGGCCGAGCACGCTTAAAACGCACTTACGAACACACTCCGGCGAGCGGCCGTACCGCTGCCCTGATTGTAACAAGAGTTTCTCGCAAGCCGCCAACTTGACCGCGCATGTTCGGACACACACCGGTCAGAAGCCGTTCAGGTATGACTTGTGTATTAGATACCTTACAGCAACTTTCAATCATACTAATATTATAAATGTGAAAGTTTTGATGGATGGATGGATGTTTGTTAGAGTTTGTAGCCTAAATGACTGAAGGGTTTTCAATTATATTTGCTATAGATGTAGAGAATAGTCTAGAAGAACATACAGGCTACTCAATTTTGTTTTGTAATTCCACGCGGGCGGAGTCGTGGGCGAAAAGTTGTCTTTAATAAGTTTTAAGTGTATCTGAGTGCAGCTTTGAGAACTGTAGAATACAGTCGCTATGGACACGGAACCCATCTACAGTTTCTCTGGTATTGCGAATGTCTGGGCGTCGTTAATCACCTTGGTATTCCCACCGCTCGTTTGACTCTTCCTTATTTAAAAACAGATGGAAAGGGAAATGGGTTAATGTTAATCCTCCTGCACATCACTCATGAGACGAAAAGCATTCGATTTGCGGCGCGTCTTCTGTGTCGTTATAGTATTGCACCGGTCATCGCCACAGTCGTTTAGCGGATGTTATTGCTGGTGTTTACCACTGTTAACCTATTTTAAAATGTAGAAGCGTTCTTCATGCTGGTGTCGTTTCCATGTCTCAGACTCTGTTTATTATTGGTGTTTTATTCTATTTTTATAATCAGTATTGTTGTTGCAGATGTCCTATTTGCGATCGACGGTTCAGCCAAAGTTCGAGCGTCACAACGCATATGCGGACTCATTCCGGTGAAAGGCCGTATCAGTAAGTATGCTTCTAAGTAAACGTTGTAATTTAGTGTTAAAATTGAAACATACGAAAGGAGGTTAGAGTTAAAGTGTGGGTTTTGTGAAAATGTTTATAGAATCTTATTAAGTACGAGTACATTTCTATCAGGATTAATTTTGTAGCTTTATTTTTAGCAACATATACATGTAACTAATATAACTATAATACTTTCGAGAAAATCTTACTAATATTAATAATGCGAAAGTTTAGAGGATTGTTTGTTAGAATTTAGTCTAAACGGTTAAACGGATCTCTATGTTATTTGGCATAGATGTAAAGCTTATTAGACTGGTAGAATATATCGATATTAGTATTTTAATATATTTTTTTGAGGTCAAATATGTACTAACATTAACTTTTATGTTTAATTTCAACAGGTGTCGATCATGTAAGAAAGCGTTTTCGGACAGTTCCACACTGACGAAACATCTGAGAATACATTCAGGAGAAAAACCTTACCAATGCAAATTATGTTTGCTTAGGTATGTACAAAACATGTATTACACCGATATCGCACCATTATGTGCTGTTTTCTACACAGAGACTTTAAGAGCTCCTACCCTACGTATAGACTTATAAGGGTATATCTACACTAAACTTTAACAAAGAGTTTTTTTTTTATTATTGACTAGATTGCGTTAGTGTGTTACATGACTAATACATTTCCGTCACACAGGTTTTCCCAATCTGGCAACCTCAACCGCCACATGCGCGTCCACGGCAACATGTCCGGCGGTGTGCTTGGCTGACATATACAGAAATGCGGTCTGCCGGCCGTATACTCTTACATATAATCCAATATTTCTTGCATACTACAAATCATTTTGTAATCAATCAAGAATAATAATTTAAAGTGTATTTAACGCTTGTAGCACACAGCCGCGTAAGCCAACGTAATACGAATCTGACTTTGATATTAAACTGAAACGAATTTAATTTGGTAAAAGTGTTCAATCGTTTCCTTGTCGTGTTTAGTTCGCTTGCGTTACCCTTTACTTGCTTCAATTCGCTTTCGCGGTTGTGTACAACAGGCGTAGACACCATAGTGTCGGATGATCTGGGAACTTTTTTTAATTTCAATTAAGAAATCATGTGCTTTCCCCTTTTTTTTTCTAGCAACACGCACATAAGCATAGAGCAATAGTATTTTTATATTTTCTTTTTAAACCATGGTACTCATATCATCGTGTCCTCTTTATTTATGGGAAGCAACCAAATCTCTTTTTTTACAACTGAATTAACAAGTGGTCTGGAAAGTTCTAATAGAGAATTATTACTATGCTGTTCTTATGTAAGAAAACTAAACATTATTACATAAAAATATTTGTTAATATAGAAATGTCTTAATAATTGTGAAATAAAAGTGATCACCTTATTTTAGTCGTGTTATAGTTGAACTTCAATTGTAAAGATTAGTCAATGATCTCAGAATTAGAGAACTTCAATATTCTAATTCAAGATAATTATATCTCAAATAGATTGAATAGTGAAATTTTTAAGCAGTCTTTGATATTTACTCAAATTAAATTGTAATTATTTGCATTAAACAATAGTGTCAACGTTAACAGTGTTACGATTTAGTAAATTGTAATATTTTCTACATAGAATTATAACAGAAAAAAGAACTAGTTACATTTGCGTAAAAATTAACGACACTTATTGTCTTTAGATATTTGTAAACTGTCAGTTCTAACTAACGTCTATAGTGGGCATTATAAAATTACTTCAAATTATACAATGTTAAAAGTCAATGGGGAAGTTATGATTGAATAATAATAAGTCATGCAACTAAAATAAGTGTAAAAATAAAAAACGTGGATCTTTTCTCTAAACAATACAGAAAATATGGCCTGTCTCACCATATTGTAAATTGTCAGATAACAATCCAACATGTAAAATATGTAATGGAAATATTGGATTTTATTCTCTTATCTGACAGTGACGCCATTTTTAAGCTATCTGTGCCTCTATCAGCCAGTAGTGGGACAGGGCCTTTAGTGTTCTATTTTACTCAGAAAGAGGCGATATCTTTTTTTTAAGATGTTAAAAGTGTATGTTGTACCTTTGCTTATATCTTGTAGACTTTCAGAATAAAATATCTTCAAAACTTCTAATTATTGTACGAAGACTGCGTATGGGAAATGATAAGATATTGAGAATGTCTATCATTGTAAATATGAACTTTGATGTTTGTAAATAAATCTGTAGTTATTAAATACTCACGTCACGTTGTGTTTCTCTAGTCATTATTGTTTGTTTTTAAATATTTCAAGCTAATTGATTGTATTCTCTGTCTAATATGTATAGTAAAAACAGAGTGATGAAATATTAGAAAAATATGATTATTCTCATTAGTAATAGAATTTTTGCACGATCAGTATTATTATATAGAGAACCAAATATCAATGTAAATTGTTACGTTATAAGACAAAACTGGATTAAATGAGATGTAAATAATCTTTGTTTCATTAAAGTGTTAAAGATGAGGTAAGTTGCCAGACAGGACTCCTGGTATCTCAGTCGGTTATAACCTTATCTATAATATTGTAAATGCGAAAGTTAAGATGGATGAATAAATTGGTGTTTGTTAAAGTCTAGAGAGAGAGAGAGAGACGAGAGACTAAAACAAACCTGCTGAACCGATATCAATGAAATTCGACTTAGATCTTAGTCCGGAAAACTACGTAGACTACCTTGTTTTACATTTAATTCCAAACAGACGAGGTCGCCGGCAAAAGCTAGTGTTAAAAATCTATATAAACATTTCCAGTTTAAAAGTGAAATGGCAAGACACTTCGTAGTTACTTTACTTTTTACTCTGTGGTCACTTCGCCACATATTGTCTATTCCTTGCTTGATCAGCTTGATTTGACACATCACATTTGATTTCCCCGTTTTTCCATTTCGGGACATAATTAAATAAAAATAATACCTATAAACTGTCGAACCGGTGTTTTGAAGTTTAATTAATTACTTGCTTATAACCTTGCTTTCATCCGTCAGTGATTTGTGAATCGAGTGTCTTACCGAACGAAAGAAATTTGTCGAAGTTGCAATATTTATGACTACTTAATTGTGTAGTGATTTTTAATCGGTTTTAAAAATGACTGAAAGTTCACCAGACGAGACAAGTTCTAGACGTAAAGACTTCATTTGCGGCGTAGTTGAAGGTACAGTTGTATTTATTTTTGGATAACATGTAGTTCTATAATGGTCACATAGTTATACATAAATGTGTATAAACTAGGATAGTTGCGTTAGAGTGAATGACCTGGGATTTTGTATTGCAGGCTTTTACGGACGTCCATGGACAACTGAACAAAGAAAAGATTTATTTCATAAGTAAGTATAATAATTTTAAATGCTAAATATTTCCAATATGAAACCATTATTAGAATATATTTTCCCTTAAATGCAGTTGAATTTCGTTAAAACTTATATGAAATTGACTGTATTTATTGTTTATTAACAAATATTTTCTTGTAGGATTGTAAGCAAATAATAAATCATTAGCATTCTAAAAAAAAAATCTTTAATAACAAGTAAATATGATTTCAGATTGAAGAAATGGGGTATGGATATGTATGTCTATGCACCTAAAGATGATTACAAGCATAGAGCATACTGGAGAGAACTGTATACAGTGGAAGAGGCTGAACATCTTACTTCCTTGATATGTGCGGCTAAATCACAAGGAATCACCTTCTGTTATGCTCTCTCACCTGGCCTGGATATAACTTACAGCAGCCAGAAAGAGATAACTACATTGAAGAGGAAGTTGGAACAGGTTTGTATTTAAAACAATTTAAATATGACCTTTCCTTCGATGTAAGAGCATAGATAATGGAGCCAATTTGGTTTTGGCTAGGGATAGGATGCATAGGTAGGGGAAATATCCTTTTTCTGTACTTCGTTTCTTTTAATTGAAGGTTGGGAACACATCTGCAAATGTGGATATCTATGGAAAGAGTTCACTACACTATTTTGGTGAATTCAGGGGCCTGCATTCATTTGTCACCTGCTATAAACTATAAAACAATATTAATTATCAAAGTTTATTTAGAAGAAACAATAAACAATTAAGGCATTTCCATTAAAACCTTATTCAATAAAACTTATTTACGTTGAACCATAACCATGCTGATCACACACCATAAAGATGTTGGTCAAAGATGTTTATAACAGTGTGTCAGTTTGTTGTTTGGAGTAATTTGGTTAGTTTTTCTCTAATAAATGAATATAGATGAATCATTATCATTTTGCAGGTGTCACAATTTGGCTGCACTTGTTTTGCTCTGCTGTTTGATGACATTGAACCAGAGATGAGCGAGGCGGACAAACAGATATTCCAAAGTTTTGCTCATGCACAAGTAAGTATTTTTACTATGAACAGTGTTGAATAAATTCAAAATAATTTTTTGCAATTTGCAAGCATAAAAATTAAAGTCAAACCATATTAACACCTATACATTATAATAAATGTGTCCAACATGAGAAAAATCCCATTGGACCAATTTATTGTTAGCCCAATCTGCGCTATGGGAAACATTTATATGGTATCATAATTAAAAAGTTTACTAAAAAATTGAAATAACATAAAAACCACCTTGAATGTTGTTGTCCGATCATAGTTCATATTTTAGGCTTTCAATTGCATTAATATATGCATAAAGTTATAGTTATGAATTTTTTTAACAGGTATCAGTGACCAATGAAATCCATCAACATCTCGGCTGCCCTCGTTTCCTGCTTTGCCCCACTCAGTATTGTTCCACAAGAGCCGTGCCGACAGTCAACAGCTCGGAATATCTTATCACATTGGGGACTAAACTCTCACAGCAGATTGATATCATGTGGACTGGTAAGTGGATAATTTAATCTATTTTTCAGTCTAGAGCTCAACTATTATGCCCATACCTTTATTCTTTAAAACGAAGACATTAAAAGATATCTAGATGAGGTCTAGTGATTAAATTGTTTACTCTGGTACTTTCTCTGAAAGGTACTATATCATGTCAATTTTAGTACCACCTTGTATTATTATGTAATAGATTAATTGACAAAATTATAATATGCTCTACCTTTTGTTATAATATAAACTCAGTGTCACAATACACAATATGTACTTTTAAATATTATTTAATTACTTCTATTGGCTATAATCTTATTCTTATTATTAACAATTAATAGATAGTGTGATTATGTAAATAATGTTTCAAGTGAAGTGTCGATTTTGCCTTCTCTATATATTTTATTATTCTCTTTGTTTGATACACTAAATGAAGTATGGTCACTCTGTGATTTGCTATCTGATTTGTTCATGGTTCACATAGTTATAGTATGAAGCATTGAGCCATAACCCACCAAGTTGTTGAACCACAGCTCAATGGTTGAAGTCTATGACCTGAACTGTTGAACTGGTTGAGAGCTGTTGCTTCTTAGAAATTGAGACTACGTCATTGTTGACTTGAGGTTGTTGACCCACAAGTTTGATGTAAAATGATTATTACCAACATAATAAAGGTTATTAAACCCTGTGACGTCAACGTTTTAGAATCTTAACGCGTCATAGCTCGTAAAAGAGGGATTATAATGAATTTTAGTGAGAACGTTTTCGTAATATCTTTGTATTAGAATTGTGCAGGGCCCTTACTGGATATAAATCGCTAACAAATCTCGCACTATTTTTGTCGATGACGTTACGTATACTCAACTGTTACCCAAATGTTCGTGATAGACCCTCTATTCGACGAGCTATCTTAGTTTATTTAATGAGCTTTACATGTCGCGAAATTTCAGTTGGAATTCCGAAATTAATGAAACTACTTTATTTGACTAATAAAATTAGTCATTATTTATGTTCTCTAGAGGTAAATAAAATTTTAAAAACCCATCTACGAAGTATCTGCTAATTTTACGCAGTCATGGAAACCATTTATTGTTTACTTGAACATTAAATGCATACAAAATAAGCTAAAACAAAACACCTAACGGATTTGATGTTATAAATGAATATCCAAACAAACGTTCAATAAAAACGTAGTATCGATGGAAAATTTGCAATCCTCAGAACACCGTAATGTAACCTTGAACGGCCATTATCACCTAGAGCCCGCGCACACCTTTGACTAAACTATCGCACAACTAGTCACGCTTTGATTCCTATAAGCTTATATGGAGCACACTACTCGATGTTTAGTTGTGCAACTAAACAGTTGAGGTTGCGAAACAATCGACAATCGGACAACAGTTGTGCGATTGTCTAGTCAAAGGTCTAACCCGCTCTTAAAATACGGCTATTCTTGTAAGAAAAGGGTGGAAATGGAAAGGGAAAAGTGTAGAATAAAGGTAACAGTGGTAGTGCCCGTTTTAACATCTTAGCACGAATGGGCCGGCACGCCCGCTGTAATACCACGACCACACAGAAGTCTGATGAGTGTGGTGCCGGAGGCCTAATTTAAGTCCCTTTCTCTTTACCACCCTTTTCTTATAAGGTGAGGATGGGAAGGGGAAGTGGATTTGACGGTGGAGGAGATGCATAGGAAGGGCAATATCCTCTTTATGTGCGTCTCCTCCTATAGGTAACGCATCTGCGATCGCGCATGTCTATGGGCAGCGGTCGCTTCGCCATTTTGGCGGCTTTAGGTGGCCGCTTGCTCGTTTGCCACCTTATGTTATAAAAAAACAGGTTACCTTAACACGCCTGGTGTTTTCATACCAAATATCGCAACCGTAACACATTCCCTGCCACATTTAGTATGAAAGTTAAATACACTGAAAAAGACTTAAGTTTTTCGTATGAACTTTTTCCAGGTCCTAAAGTGATATCAAAAACGTTAACAACTGAATGTATAGAAGAGATCACGCAAGTGTTACGTCGACCTCCAGTTATATGGGACAACCTGCATGCTAATGACTACGATCAAAAACGAATCTTTCTGGGTAAGATATAAGGTCGTTTTTTACTTGATTTATTGTACCTGTAAATTACTAAATTGCCATCATAATAAAAACAAAAGATTATTTAAAAAATTTTAACGGCAATTATTCTAATATTTCTTAGAAAACAATTATATTGGAAAGGGAATGATTAGACATTCTCTCTAATATTTCTCAATAATAATATATGATATTAAATTACAGTAGCCAAACATATTTTGTATTGTTAGTTAGCACCTATTGATAAATATTAAAACGACATTTAAATGTATAACATCGTTTTAAATAATACAATTTACATAAAAATTTTGACGCATTATCACAATAAGCGGCGCTGACGATATAAAATGTTTGAGATTCGTTTCAGAATTCAGCAAACAGTCTCTAGAATATATATTTCTTCAACATAAAAGGCATGGCCTGTCCCACCAAATTGTAATTAGTCTGATAACCCAATGTGTAAAATATGATAGAAATGTCGGATTTTCTTTCCTTATCTGACAGTGATGTCATTTTTAAGCTATCTGACCATCTATCAGCCAGTGGTGGGACAGGCTCTTAATTATATGTTTGTTTTTCACCAGGACCATACTGTGGACGGTCTCCTGAACTAATTCCCCTTCTCCGTGGAGTGCTGACTAACCCTAACTGTGAATACAACGCTAATATGATACCTATATGGACTCTAGCGCATTGGGCTAATTGCAGTTTAGATGCGCCTGCGCATAGTAAGTACTCATATCTATATTATTATATCTTAGGTATATCTATCTTCTATCTAAAAATGGAGTGTTTGTTTGTTTCAAAAGAAAAATTCCAGATTTCGGGAAGTGTTAAAAGTATTTACGTTGTTGACATAGACGGGCGTATTATAGGCTATTTTTTATCTTAATATTGCGTTGACGAAGTCGCGGGCAATAGCTAGTCTATACTAATATAATAAAGCGTAAACACACTAACACTTCGTAGCGTAAGATGTCAGCAATCACACCATATTTTTGAATTCTTTTTTTAATAAAAAGCCCTGCATTACAACACGCTTTAGGCTGTATATTTTCACGATATTATCCTAAGGGCGTGAATAAATTGGAAAACCTTAATGTGGGAATGGGACAATAAACTACAAGCTGCCAACATTAAGGAAGCAAGAATATGGTAACAGTAATTTTGACATTTGCCATTGAGAATTTGACAAACGTAAACAATAATATAAACAGGGAGGATTTTAATAATTGAAGACAGTTAAAGCCTTTACCTTTTTCAGAGGTGGCTACCAATTTTGCAATAAGCTTCAATTTCTATATTATTTGTATTTAACAGTGGAAGCAGTATCATGGGATATTAAATTGGAGCGTGAGAGCGAGCAAGGTGTATGCGAGGACGAACCCCCTCTCACTCTAGGCAAGCACGTCTATCACCATAGACAAGCTTTAAGGTAAATATGCTTCTAGAATGTTCTTTGTAACCTATACTAATATTAAAGAGGAAAGATTTTTATTTTTGTATGTATTGTAATAACTCAAAAACTACTGGACTGATTTCAAAAGTTCACTAAAAAGTTACGGTATCAGTAACGTTTTTTAAATTTCACGCGGACAAGGTCGTAAGCAACAGCTAGTTTGGTATACTTTATTGCAAAATAATTGGTTAGATTTTAATAATGATTTCACATTTGTGTACAGACTCTTTTTATCGTAAATTAATGAAAACGAGAAATTATATTTATATGTCTGTCTATGGATTTATTTTTTAAAAAATTTAAATGAAACATGAATATGTTTGTTTTTAATAAGTTTTCACAGACTTATAAAGGTATAATCATTTAGATGTGGTTGTTAGAATTTGACACATTGTGCTTGTGTTTTTTCCAGACAAGCGATAAATGAATGGCTGCCGGAGTTCTCTATACCTAAGACAGCTCAAGGACCTGTTATAAAACCACAACCTCCTGTAACAGGTTAATAAAACCTTTTATAAAATAGGATTTAAGTTAAGTACTAATGTTTTTATGTCTATAACTTAAACTTAACCCAAACTGTTTTCCTTGTGGAGCTCTTACAAAATTATATTAGTCTGCCAAAGCACTTTTAATTTTGTTGTGTATGTATGTAAGGGGTTATCTTATTATGTTACAGATTTTTTTCCAAATAATAGTAAGTTTAAATTTCAGTTCGTACACTAATGCGCTAATCTAATGTATATATTAAGGGCCTGTCCCACTACTGGCTGATAGACTCTCAGATAGCTTGAAAATGACTTCACTGTCAGATAAAGTAACAAAATCCGATATTGACATCACATGTTTGTCACCTTGCAATGTTATCTGACAGTAACAAGAAGTTGGTAGACTCTAAGGGCCTGTCCCATCAAATTGTAAATTATCTGATAACAAACGTGTAAAATATCTGATGGAAATATCGGATTTTGTTACCTCATATGACTGTGATGGTATTTTTAAGCTATTTGAGCCTCTATCAGCCAGTGGTGGGACAGGCCTTAAGTTGGTTAAATTTTCAGTACCCCCAGTGGCGATAGTCCCTATCCTACCGTCGGTGAACACGTGCATGTCGCTGGTGACGGCCACCAGCACCACGCACACCACCAGCACGGCGGACATGAGCGCGGCCGTCCCCGCCATCCCCACCATCCCCACCGTCAACACCAGCCAGCTGCAGGCGCTCGCCGACGTCTGCTCCGCCACTCCGGACAGACCGATACTCTCCACTGGGGTCAGTACCACTGGCTTTTTTTTTTCCTTTCATTCCTCATGCTTTATACATTGTTGCCTTTATAGTCATCGCTATTTTTTTATTCTTTTAGGTTTTTTTATTACTTTTTAAGTCCAACTGTTGTATACTTTATTGTAAACTGGCTATATCACCCAGAGCATTATACGTATACTAAGGGTCTACATCCATGCAAACTTAATTATATATATTATAATATAGCGTCCGAAACTCCTTACCTTTACCCTATGTGTTCTTCCGGACTATCTTCTGCTTCTATCCCAAATTCCATCAAGATCCTTCCAACTGTTTAGGCTACAAACTCTAACACTGCTGGACGGATTGAATGAAATTTGGTGTAGATGTAGAGAATAGTCTGGAACACAGGCTACTCACTTTTGTTTTTTTAATTTCACGGTGTCGGAGTCGCGGGCGAAAGCTTGTGTATATATAGTTAAATAGTTTATATAACGTCATTTTGTTTGTTTCAGATATCGCCGATAGAAACATTCAACCCAGTAGCGAACCCAGTAATGAACTCTTTAGTGTCACCGACAAAAGTTATTTTAAACGAATCCATACCGAATCCAATTATACCCATCGCAAGTTCCAATATGGCGTTACCTTCAGAAATACCAGTTTCTACATTACCCGTACCCATAATCGGTTTAAAAGCTTTAGAAGGCCATGATAAAGATCAGAATATGGATAAAATAGAAATGAACGATACAGCGAGTAATGATAGCATTCTAGAAACTTCTAGCTTTATAGAAGAGATGAAGAAGGATAAAGAAGATGATATAATAGTTGATGATGTTGAACCGCAACTGGATATACAAAAGAATGGAGAAATGAGTATTGGAGGTAAGTTTTTTAGTAAATATAAGAAATTGATGGCGCCTATGTAAACTGTTGTATGTTTAAAAATTCATATTTTCATAAAAAAGACAGTAAACATGAATATTCAAACAGACAACCTTTTTTAGTTATTTTTCTTTCGTTGTTTTTAAATTCACACAGTTGTATTAATAAGGTAAATTTAATATAACATAAAATAAGTTGTAAACCGCAAAATTGTTGCTTACGATAGTCTACATAGGAGCTATGAAAATTTATATGTGAATTTACAAAGAATTAACTAAATTATGTAAGTCGAAAAGTATTTTTAAGAAATTCGTGAAATGAAGAAAGTTCCAAAGGCACAGTTTATTAACTTGAAGTTTAAAGTTAACGTGAAAAATTGCTCATAGCTCTTTTTTTACTTTTAATCTTAAAAAAAAATTATTTAATTGTGATGTACTAGTTTTTGCCCGCGACTCAATATTTATATTATAGTAAGATTAACAAATATTGTGACGTAAAATAGTTTTTCATGCAAGCAAAATACTTAGTAAGAAATTCTCTTCTGTATGAAGAGTATTTCCATCTCATTTATTCCGATTGTTGTGAAAGAGACGTATGTATTTCCCATGTTCAGCCACGCCGCAGACGCTGAGCCCGCGCCGCTGCAGCAACGCTGATGCTGCACTGGAGCCGCTGGATGTAGACCCGCCCTCCACCGCCGCGGACTCTGACGTCGTCATGAATGATGGACTTAGCGAGGTATTACACTTTGTCCGATTTAGAGCTTTTCCCAACACTGGCTGATAGAGGCTCAGATAGCTTAAAAATGTCAGATAAGTTTACACGTTCGATTGTCATCAGACAATTTACAATTAAGTAGGACAAGCTCTAAGTAGGGTAATTTATCAAAGAGATTAATAAAATGTATAGAGGAGGCATAGATGGACCTCACCTGAAACATTTTTCACATAATTTCAGAAACCCTGTCTATTTGTTGCCAATAGATATTATTATATAATATTTAAATGTTTATTTTTCACTTTATAACACTTTTCAGTTTATTTGATAACAAAATATGAAGCTTATAATTTTGTAAAATGTTTTATTACCAGTCAATACAACACGAGTTGACACAAAACTTGACAAGGTATAATATCAACCTTTTAGAGAAAGTACCGGTGAAATGTTCACTATGCCTAGTCTCTGCCTCTGAAAAAGCTTTTTTTATGTTTCCGATACAGAAGTGTAATTTATAGTCTCCTATAATTAATATTATTGTAATATTAACAGAATGGTTCGATGCAAGTGGAACCCAGCAACAGTCCATTGAGTGGTGACATGATGGTCGAACCAACGGAATTAAATGAACCCACAGATGAGTAAGTTTTTTTGGTGGTGAAAATAGTTTTAATTGAAAGATTGTCAGATCGGTTCTAGATTAAATATACTATAATTCTGCATAATTCAATCCAATGACTTAATAACTGGTGATTTTTTGGCTCTTCATACTTGGCTACTTAAAAACGACACCTACATTTTGATTGTTTCAAGGGCCACAAAAGTGCTCTGATCTTTATAAAATCCAGTTCAAACGTCGCAAAAAAAGTATATATATATACTAGGTGTTGCCCGCGACTTAGTCCGCATGGTATTAGAAAATATACGAACTATCTAAATAACAAAAAGCTACGTATCCCTCGGGAACCGGACATTTCTTGGGGATGAACCTTATCCCTTGTGTACTCCAGACTTTGTTTTATATCTGTGCCAAATTTCAATAAGATATGTTGAACCGTTGCAGAATGATCGAGTAAACGTTAAAAAACAAAATTAATGAATCCCACGGGAACCGTAACTATTCCTGGGATAAAACGTAGCCTATGTGTTCTTCCAGACTATGCTCTAAACCTGTACCATATTTCATGGAGATCCGTTCAGCCGTTTAGGCTACAAACGCTAACAAACATCCATTGTAACTTTCGCATTTATAATATTTATATCATTTTAGTCAATATCGCCTAAAATGGCTGTTAAAACATTCCGTTGGCACAGCCGGCCTTTCACCCGTCGATATTAAATTTTCACTACATAAATTATAACACGGCTAAACTCACGTGATAACATTCGGTGTAGGCACCGACAGTTTCGAACCCGTTGG